GGGGCGGTGCTCGGCCGGGTCCCGCAGGTCGGCGCCGCTGTTCGCTCTGGCCCGCGGTGGACACCCGCTCCGGCCCGCCGGCTGCTATTTCGGCCCGGGAGGCCGCGGCCTCTGCGCCCCAGACAGCACCACGCACTCAGACAGGTGGGGAGTTCGGGCCGCGCTTCGGTCACCGCCCCGGAGGCCACGGGCGCTGCAGGCCTCTGCTTGGCTTCCTCTAGGCTTTGGGCTGCTGCGGTCTCGAACCGCCCGGAACCGCGAGCCTTAGCAGGGCTGCACCTGTTGCCTCCGCTTGGCGAGCCGCGAGGGTCCGGGTCTCCTGGGGTTGCTACTGAAGACACGCGAGAAGCATCTGGCTGGGAGTTGTCCCTTTACTTGTTTGATTTAGCGTTCTGGAGGGTGCGTGTGGGGGAGCGGTAGTCTGTAGATCGGGTCGCTAGAATGAGGCCTGTTGGGAGAGGCCAGACCCGGATCTCTGGAGCAGTGGCCCGTGAAGTCCGTTTTTTAAAACCTCACTCTGTGTTGAGTGTATCCTAGGCCGTGGGTGGCCAGGCCCTTTCTGGCCTGTGACCAGCCATCTGACCCTGCCATTGGGAGTTTTCCAAGTGTACTAGGTGCCACCAAATGGAAGTTTCTTTTCCGTAGGGGTAAAATGATACCAGTGGCCTGTCATCTCATTTGTGCTCCAGGCCTGGGGCCTGGCCCCTGGCTGCTTAGGCAAGGTTATTTGGGAATGTTTACTGTGTCCCAGAAACTGGCAGCAAGGGCCAGCACCCGGGAAGATCCTGGTACAGAGAATAATGCCCTGATTGTCACTCTCACCGTTGGTGTCTGTGCACATCATGTCTTGGTGATTGTTGGCTGCAAAGAAGAAAGCTGGCTGGTCAGTGGCCACAGGGAGGGAATGGGAGGATGGCGGGTTGCTCTGTGAGGAGGACTTCCCCCTGGGAGGCCAGACCCTCCCGCTGATGAAAGTGTGCAGCCAGCAAGTCAGAGGAGTAGAGAATGGAAACATGGGGTACCAGGAGCACCTGCCTGAGTCTCTTTCCTGCATCATGTGAGGAGGCCCTGAGCTCCAGCTGGTTGGCCATGGAGTCTCCTGCCAAGTGACCTACCTTCCCCTGGGGCCAGTCCTCCTGCACTCTGAGGTGGAGCCCCTGCTCCGTCTGGGTTCCCCACCAGCCCGCTGGCCTGATAGCTCACACAGAATCGACTGAAAGTGAGGAGCCCTCCAGAGTGGCTGGGGTCCTGGGTTGAGGTGTGGGGTGCATGGCATTGCCCATGCTGCCACCGCTGTCCAGTGGGGCTGAGCTGTGGAGATGACCTTGATGACATCATCCACTTGCAGACAATCTCTCCAAATGGTCTGTCCAGGACAGATGCTACCCAGAGCTGCCTGCCTCACACCAGGCCTGGGTGTGTGGCCAGTGCTTGGGAATGCATGCTAATGGCTAGCTTGGGGGAAGAGGGAGGAAAAAGCTGCTGGTGCCAGCCCCAGAGCATAATCAATAATGCATTGCAAAGATCAATGGCTCTGTCCAGCTCTCTGTTGTGTTCTGGAGGAGCCAGCCCAGGGAGGGTCCCGACCCCCTTAGCTTGTGTGGTGAGTCTGGAGCTGGACCGGGTCCTCCCTGGGAGCATCCCCTGGATCCCTGGCTTAGCCCTGCCATGCCCTGGAAGGGAGTCCATTTCCTGATGGTAATGTACAGCAAGCTCCCCTTCACGCTGAGGATTTGCTTGGTTTTGGGACTCTTGGGATGTTACATGATTAATCAGAGAGTGCGTCCAGGTGCCCTTCTCAGGCTTCCCGTGCCAGGACCTGGGGCTCTGAGGCTCTTCCTGGGGTGACAGTGTGTTAGTGCTGCCCATTGGAGGGGCTCATGGGGAGAGAGCCTGCTGTCTGCAGTTCCCCTTAGAGGCAGTTGTTTTTTTCTTGAGCAGTTGACAGTTGCAGGAAGAAGAGGGGAAGTGAGCAGGAGCTAGGCAGAGCCCTGGAGGAGGGTCCTGTCTCCCCTTGCCTTGGTCTGTCCCTGGCTTGACAGGTGCAGCCAGGCCTGTGCCATCTCCTGTGAAGGCTGGGGTTGTCCCTGGATGACTCGGGGTGTGTTCCAAGAGCTGGGCTGGTGGGGCAAGCTCATCTGCACCTGCTGGGAGAGGTGTGCTGGCCTCTCAGTGTTCAGTGCTGTGCAGAGGGGACACGGGGGCGAGTGGAGATTGTTAGGAAGAGGTATGTGCAGACCTCTGTCGAAGGGACCGGGGGACTTCTCTGGAGCCAGGAGTTTTGGAGGTGCCAATGAAGGCGATCTTGGGATCAGCAGAGTGGCTGCTGTGCTTTATGCATCTCTCTGAGCTTGTGTGATGCTCCCAGAATGCATCTGTATTGTTCGCACCAGGCCAGTTCTACCCAGCGCCTGCCCCAGTGGCCCAGAGAGCAGCCTCACAGCCACCTCCTGCAGGGCCTGTGTGAACGGGACCAAGGTCCTATCATTTTCTATAAGTTCAAAGATGCCGCCAATGAGGGCAGCCACGGCACCCTGCCTCTGGGTTACTTCGAAGTGGCACCCTCAAGATTGCAGGCTTTGGATAAACCTGGACACAGAGTTCTTGGTCCTATCTATATTTGATCACTGCTTTCAGAATGAGTCCATGTGTGAGACAGGTGGACCTTCACTGAGTGAATGGCTGTTGAGGGACTCCTTAATAATGGCAGTGTGGTTGTATTGAAACCAGCTGCACTCCAGTGATAAATGCAAAGCGTTCACCATAAGATGTTTGAGACATGCCTCAGGTCAGTGTGGGGTGGGAGGGATTGTCTGTGGGCAGAGCATGTGGGGGCTGGGTGAGAGTTCCCCGGGTTTCTTGTTCTATTCTGGCCACTTGTATGTTCTGTTAAAATACTCCATAATTAAAAGTTAGCCTGAGAAGCCCAGGTCTCCCCTAGCACGCGCCACTGGGTCCTTTACTTCATGAAACGTTCAGAGTTTGCATTGGAAGATCTTCCAGTGTGTATAGGGGTAGGGGAAGTGTCACCTTATCCTGCACTCTCCCATATGGTCCTGTTTGCACACACGCCTGTGGATACCTATGCCCAGCAGTCCCTAGGCATCACACACTTGTGTGTGTGTCTGGAAGTGTACACCTGTGTCTTCTACACTGCTCTGATTGGAGGCTGCAAAGCTGCTGCTAGGAAGTGTGCGTGTGTGTGTGTGTGTCCCAGTGTATAAGGGAGTGTGTGTCTATATGCTTGACAGTGTGGGTATGTGAGACTGTGTGTATGAGTGTGTGAGTGTGATAGTGTTACAGTAGACTTGGAAGTGTTTGAGTGTAAGATGGAGTGAATGTGTGGAAGTATATCAGAGTAAGAGTGAGTGTAAGTATGAGCGTGTAAATGTGAAATAGTGTGAATGAGAATGTATAACTGTGCATGTGCAAGCATGTCTGTGAAAGTGTTGTTGAAGCAGGGAAAAGAAGGGAAGGTCCATTTCTCCTCTTTCTATACTTCTGTATTTTTGGTGCTGTTACAGTGGAATTACTTTGTAATAGTACAAGTAACCTTAAAAGAGACATCTCCATCAGCACAGTAGGAGGCTGAGGCAGGAGGTTCAAAACTTTGAATCACAAGCTCTGCATGACCCTGTCTGAAAACTAAAAAGAGCACTGGAGAAGGAGCTCAGTGCAAAGGTCCTGGGTCCCTAGGTGTGCATGCTTGGCCCTGTGCAGATTGGGGTGTCTCCGGAGGTCTCCTAGTTTCCTCAGGCAGGTTACAGAGAGGTTGGTTTGTGGGTATCCATCCATGCTCCTACACAAGTTGATAACAGAGATTTGGCTTCCATAAGACAATCAGTAGATCAATCATTATTGACCTTTGTAATGTGTTCTGTGGGCCTGAATGGTAGAGAGTGCTGCCTTCCCCTCCGCAGTGGAAGACAGGAGATGAGGGCCATGGAGACCAGTAGCAGTGTCTTCCTCTGGCAGAGGTGTCAAACATGCAGACAGCGCCCAAACTAGTGTTGGCAAACCTATGGCACACGTGCCTCAGGAGGTGCACAGAGCCCTCTTTTCGGCACACCGGCCAAATCTCCCTAGCAGCTGAGCATTGGATATTCAGGTTTAATTGCAGTGTTGGCACTTCACAATAAGCATTTCGGGTTGGAGTTGTAGTTTGGGCATTGAACCTCTAAGAGGTTCACCACCACTGGCCTAGCCTGAGCCTGGCTGGTCCCCTCCCTGTCAGCACCCTGCACTTGCACCCTGTCTTCTCAGAGGGCCTGGTTTTCTCTTTCAGTTGGTGGTGGATCTGTCAGGATCTGAAGCTATGACTACCAGAAAATGCCTTCCGTTGCAGGGAAGGAAGCAAGTTCGCAGTTAGGCCTGCGCCTGGCTGGGTGTTATTCTGACCCTGTGTTTGGAACTTGCCGTACTGTCTTTAGGTCATTGTCTTTATTGTTGGCCCGTGTTTTGAGTTGGGAGTGCCCAGGTGCCCTGTGGTAACACTGGTGGTGTGGCTCTGTCCTGCGCAGGGCTGGGAAGGCTCGTGTTCATGGCAGGGTGGCTGTCTGCTGCCCACCTTGGTGTCAGGCATGGCACTGTTTTGTGTGAGCGTGAAGCCTCTTTCTCACATCCAGATCATTCTGCGTGTCCCTTACTTAGGGCTCTATGGATCCCAGCCACAGGGCCAGCACCTCAGGGCCTGTCTCATATCTTGGGTTTCTGATAGAAAGGAACCTTGTAGGCCAAGCCCCTCTTATCTGACGGGGGACACTTGCCAAGACCCCCAGCAGATACCTGACACCAGATCCTGCCAAATCCTGTACAAATCTTTCTTCAGTGCATATGTACCTGTGGTAATGTTTGTCTTCTAACTTGGGCAATAATAAATAGTAAAACAGAACAGACCTAACAATATACTGTAATGAAAATTAGATAAAACTTGTGAATTATTTATGGAATCTTTCATTATTTTTGGATTGTGGCAAGTTGCTGGTAACTAAAAACTGCAGAGAGCAAAACTACAAGTAAAAGGGGTCCCTTAAAGATCACTCCCACCTGACAGATGTGTCCACTTTGTGGAATTTCACTCCTTGCTTCTGAAAATGTTTATTGGGAGCTGGTGACAGCGAGGAGCCAAGACACAGAGGCCCTGG